GGTTACCGTCCAAAAATAGAAGACATTGAACAAGGACTCCAAGAAATGAACTGGCTCTACCTCAGTAAAATTTAAGGTTATGATAATTCCTAATCCCTCTCTTGTTATCTGCCTAATCATCGGTGCAGTTTTTTTCTTAGATATTAATTTCAGTATCAACGTTAGGAGATATCCCATCACACTCATCATTTGGAGAGACTTGTTTATATAGAGATGTGATGGTCTCTCATAAGGTTCTGGTGTTCTAAAATGGGGATTGTGTTCAGATTAAGGGAAACCAGGATTAAGTTATTGGGATTGTTTTTGTCGTAAATAATACTTTGTTATTATTAACCAATCATATATATATATATATATATATATATATATATATATATATATATATATATATATATATATATACATAGTTATCATAGTGAACACTTTAATGTTAAATTTCAAATGAGATGTCTAAAGAGCATACAAACTTTGTCCACTTATTATTACGTTAAGTAATGTTTACTTTGCATAAGAAAGAAAATAAAAAAAGGCATAATATTTACTTTTAATCAAGGTTTCATCCGAGTTGTTATGGGTCCCTGTAATTAGAAATAGAAATTGCCAGTCCAGCGGTGTTTGCCACGAGGGATAATATTTACTTGCCAATGATACGAGGGAAGTGTTATGGATGCTCGACGTCTCACTGATGTTACTATAAGTCAACGGCTCAATGTGTCAAACCTGTATGTAAAAAAAAAGTAAAGATATGAAAAAATGTATAAATACAAAAAACTGAGCAACAGCTAAAAAAAAAAAAATACAATACCCCCCCCACACACATAGGTAGGAGTGTATGTCGTAGAAGTGTATGTTCAGTTAGCTGCTCTAACTGGCTCAGTGTCCGCTGCTAATTGAGTTGTTAGCGTGGTGATTGAACTCTTGCTATGATTAGAGTCCTCTCCTCTCTCTCTCTCTCTCACTCTCTCTCCCTCCTCCCCCTCACTCCTATCAGAGAGCAGCAGAGTCGTCCTATGTGTGGTAATTGCTTCTTTTCACGAAATGTTCCTGATTACACATCTTGCCTCCCCCCACCTCCCTCTCCCCATCCATCCCCACTTCCCCTTCCTCCCGGACGCTTAATTTCACGATGTTAATCTCTTATGTAACTTGCGGAGGTGTTAGATTTAAAATATAAATATATAAATATATATATTAGACACTCGTTTGCAGCGGATTCTCTTCCCAGTTGAAGAAAGCTAACTATAGTACTAGCCAGTCTGAATCCCCCACCCCCCCTCTTACTTATCAATCTTTCATTGTTGTACAATTAAAGTATATACTCTATTTGATACATTGATGTTTACAATAAAGAGAAAGATATCAGAGTGTTTTTTTTTCCTCAAGTATTTCCGATTTTTTTTTTTTAATATGTAATTCTGTACAATTAAACTCTAACCATCGTTACAGTTATATAATTAATTCCAAAAATATATTGAATATCTACTTACGTACACATATATGTATCTGCATATAGAAGATACTTCTGAGTCTGATGGATGCCTACTACCACTATGAAAGATTCGTGTTAGAATCATTAATCTTATCCTTTTGGGTGATATTCAACAACATATGTTTTACAAGAAAGACTGCTACCAATATATATATATATATATATATATATATATATATATATATATATATATATATATATATATATATATGTCGTACCTAATAGCCAGAACGCACTTCTCAGCCTACTATTCAAGGCCCGATTTGCCTAATAAGCCAAGTTTTCATGAATTAATGTTTTTTTCGTCTACCTAACCTACCTAACCTAACCTAACCTAGCTTTTTTTGGCTACCTAACCTAACCTTACCTATAAATATAGGTTAGGTTAGGTTAGGTAGGGTTGGTTAGGTTCGGTCATATATCTACGTTAATTTTAACTCCAATAAAAAAAAATTGACCTCATACATAGAGAAAGGGTTGCTTTATCATTTCATAAGAAAAAAATTATAGTAAATATATAATTCAGGAAAACTTGGCTTATTAGGCAAATCGGGCCTTGAATAGTAGGCTGAGAAGTGAGTTCTGGCTACTAGGTACGACATATATATATATATATATATATATATATATATATATATATATATATATATATATATATATATATATATAAATATATATATATATATATATATATATATATATATATATATATATATATATATATATATATATATATATATAATATATATATATATATATATTCATACAGGAATTTCCTTAAGTACGTTCGTATTTAATAATACATCTTTAGAAGGATCACACACACACACCACACACACACACACACACACACACACACACCCATATATATATCTTATCCTCTTATCCACCCCCTGTACCCTCCCCCTCTCCCCCACCACCCCAAGCCCTCCCTCCTCCACCAATCCCCCCGTGCCAGGTCCCCCCAGCTCCCACTCACCCCAGATCCCAAAGGTCCCCCCCAGAAAAGAA